AGTGACACCATCGACACCAGTGACACCATCGACACCAGTGACACCATCGACACCAGTGACACCATCGACACCAGTGACACCATCGACACCAGTGACACCATCGACACCAGTGACACCATCGACACCAGTGACACCATCGACACCAGTGACACCATCGACACCAGTGACACCATCGACACCAGTGACACCATCGACACCAGTGACACCATCGACACCAGTGACACCATCGACACCAGTGACACCATCGACACCAGTGACACCATCGACACCAGTGACACCATCGACACCAGTGACACCATCGACACCAGTGACACCATCGACACCAGTGACACCATCGACACCAGTGACACCATCGACACCAGTGACACCATCGACACCAGTGACACCATCAACACTAGTGACACCATCGACACCAATGACACCATGGACACCAGTGACACCATTGTCACCATGGACACCAGTGACACCATCGACACCAATGACACCATCGACACCAGTGACACCATCGACAACAGTGACATCATCGACACCAGTGACACCATCATCACCAGTGACACCATCGACACCATCAACACCATCGACACCAGTGACACCATGGACACCAGTGACAACATCATCACCAGTGACATCATCGTCAGGTGACCAGACTGGAGTCCTCACGTCTGGACTCTCAGCCAACGGTCGGTCAGAACTGAAGTTTGACTCAAACGCATCAGTCGTCGTTAAAGTTAAAAAGACTTTAATAAAGAAACAAACATTTTAGAGACAACAAAGGTGAACAGTCCAGTAGGTGGCGCAGCAGGTCCAGTGGACCAGGCTGTTTCCATGTGGTGAGAAATTTAACTCCTCCACTGCAGGAGTTAAAAGGAGGAGACAAAGTTCTTCATGTGTAACGATGGTACCAGGACCAGGACCAGGACCACATGGTACCTCTTCTTCTGTGGTGGTAACGTGTCAGTGTTCATGAAGGTTCTGAACCAAGTCTGAAGGTCTGGAGGTCCAGGTCTGGTAGTTCACAGGGAGCAGCCAATCAGAGCCATCAGACGTACATGATGTCACGGTGACGCTCTGGTTCAGCTGCAGTCGTCAGCTTCTCTGAGTCGGGTCAGATCTGGGACAAGTGAAGAACGACCTGAAGGTGACCCAGAACCAGGTGACATTTTCTTCACAGGTTTGGTCTCTCTCTGTGAGACATTATGTTGTGGGGTTGGGGTGGGGGGGGTCATGGCAGCAGTTAACAGGAAGTAGGTTCTGATCACATGGTCCAACATCGTGGGACATGGGGGGGGGGGTTCTGTGAGACAGTTCACTGTTTTCTACATCTCAAACTCCAAGTAGTCCTGACTGACCCCCCCCTCCTGATCCTTCTTACCCCCCTCCTCTCTACCCCCACCTCCACCTGGACTCACCCCAGAGACAAACAATTCCCAAACCCAGCAGGTATTCTCAGAAATTGGACCGGATGAACCGTGGGAGCGTCCACAGGACGGACCGCAGGACATGTTGGACTCCACAGTTTGGACCAAATGATTCAGTCGTGCAGCGACAACAAGTCGACGACAGCAGGAACAAAGGTTCCTTAACATTTACTGGTCTGATCTAAGTATCTAGTGCGTACCCCGGGTGGGCCGGGTCACAGAACCAGATGGATCCAGGTCTGGTTCTGGAAACTGCGTCCAGGGTACACACCTCTGTGAGGGTCCACGGCCAGAACTCCTCCCACACACTCAGAAGAAGGAGAAGGACAAAGTCCTTCCATGAGTCGACTCGGTTGGACCTTGTTCTGTTGTGTGGAGGAGAACCGGCTCGTAGAACCTGACAGAGTCCAGGTTTAGGAGAAGCTACGGCTAGGATTTGGACCACGACCTGCGGTTGAGCCAACTGAACCATTTCACCAACCGGGAGCCAACATTTAGAGAAGTCCGTTCCATGGACGTCCAAC